CTGAGTGAGGGACCCGGGGAGACCGCCTGCTAGTTTCTGACCCTCCGGCCTCCCATCTCCCAGGGGGTGGCGGTTCCTTCCCCGCAGGGAGAAGGAAGAACCCCCTTAGGGCACGTGGGTCGGCGGCTGACACGGTGACCGAGGCTGTAAGCCTCAGCTTATATATCTGTAAAGTGGGTATAACAGCGTCCACTTGCGGTGAGGATTGATTAAACCGTAGGTGGGTAAAAATGCGCGGCACGTACTAGGGCCTCTTTAAATGTCCGTTTCATTCTCTTCTTTCAGACAAAGCAGCCCAGCCCCACTCACTCCCAGTGGTCAGGAGCTAGGACTGGGAACCCCCCTCTTCTGCCCAAGAGGGAGGAACAGAGTGTCCCATAAGCCATCCCCCGCCTGGGCGGTACCCGGGACCTAACCTAAGGGCAGGAGCTCAGATGGTGCCCTCCCGGCCGGGATACCTGGAGGCTGGCAGCTCGGGGTGGTGACTGAGTGGAGAATGGGGTTCCTCCTCTCCCACTCGCCTTTTCAGACATTCCTGGCTCAGGCTGGGAGCCAGGTACCAGAGATCTGACCCAGTAGCCCGCTGCTGGCAGTCATGTGATCCTGGGCCGGTCTTTCTCCTTTGACGCTGCCAGACCCCTAGCTCCCTGTGAGACCCTATTTAGGCCTCCAGGGGCGGGGAGCTGGGCGGACTAGGACCGACAGGCAGCCGGGAGACACTGACCACCCCCAGCGGGTCAGGCAACAAAGCTGGATATGTGAAAGGAGGGAGAGAAAGAGGCCAAAGCCCCCGCTGCCCCCTTTATTCCTCCCTCCAAACCAAGTGCCCCCCTGGCAAAGGCAGAGAGGAGAGAAGCTGAGAAAACACAGGGACTCCCCTCCCCGAGGCTCTGGGTTCAATCTCTGGCTCAGCAGCACAGGCGAAGGCACCTGGAAGGTTGGCCATGCCCATGGTCCCGTGAGGGACCCTCCAGAAAGTCTGTGCTGGTGTCAGCACCCACCCCACAGGGTGTCAGAGTGCAGTCAGGGAGCCGTCACAGACCACCCTCTCCTCTTACAGGTGAGAAACGGGATCTCAGAGACCTCCTGAGGTGAGGGACAGGCAGGAGGAAAGCCCAGGGTGGGGGTGGGGGGCCTTGTCGGCCAGGCCAGCATCACCTTTTCCCACTCCAGCTCTAAGAGATTTCTAGGATGAGAGCCAAGAGAAAGAAATAATAATAATAATAATAATAATAAAAACGCTGTAAGTCAGCAGTGAAGGGGAGCCTCAGTTTTCTCACCTGTATAATGGGGACAATAATAGCACCCACGTCACTGGGGTGTTATGAGAAATAAGTGAGTTAATCTCCGTGAAGGACCCAGAACAATGCCGGGCGGAGGTATGCTCAGTCCGTTTGAGTGCCTGCTATTTTTAACAATAAGCTATCACATTACTTTTTAAATGGCCAGAAATAAAAATGGGAACAAACCCTCCTTTTAGGAATAGATTCTATTAATGTAAAAAAAAATTTGGTTTTCAAATAACTTCCTCTTGCCTGCCCGAGCCCCTGCCCCCACACCCAGATGGCACCGTGGCTCCTCCCATGTCTGGGGCTGGCAGGGCTGGGCTCGCTGGACCTGTGCCCCGAGCACCTGCGCCTTTGGCAGGGTGGGCCCTCGCGTAGCCTGCTGAGGCTGGGGCTGTCCTGGTGGCTGGGACTTGGCACAAGGTCCACCTCTCAGGTCGGGGGAGCTCTGGCTTCCCTACCCACACCCCTCCTGCTTTCTGAGTGCGGTGGACATCGGGGGGAGAGGCCACCCGATCTTTCCGAGCCTGGCTGCAGCCAGGGCCTGTCTCTTGGGGGTCTTTGGGAGGAGCTGGGGTCTGGAGTCAGACGATTGGTCTCAGCTGGACTCCATCCACCTGTTAGACACCGTTTAGTTTCTCTGTTCCCTTTTCCTCCAACATCCTCAAAAGGATGCCTGCAGATGGTCAGGGTCTCCTTTCTCACCACACATCTCTTCCACCGTGGCACACGGTGGCGTCACTGAAGTTGATAAACTGAACAAAACGTTTCAGTCCTTATCTTGCTGGACCCCTCTCCGACCTCTGACCCCACTGATCATTTCCTCCCACAGGCTTCCATGTCCTTGTCCTCTGGGCCCCTCCCACCCGCCTCTCCTCCCCTCTGCCTTCCTGTGCCCTGTCGGGGTTCTCCTCCTTCAACATCCGCGCCTCTCCCCGCTCTCATCTCACTTTCCCGGGGTGAGCTCGGCCACACCCGGAGGCTTCCAACACCCATTCCGCTGTGATGCCCCAAACCAGCTTCCTCTCCAGCCCGGGTTTCCCTCCTGAACTCCAGACCAAGGACCCAACTGCTCCCCGAGCTCCTCCCTCTGGGTGTCCCACCAGCCCCCCGACCCTCGTCCTCTGCTTCCCAGGTGTGCTCTGAGAAGGCAGGCTGGGGTCCTCCGCCCTCCTCCTCCCACTGGGCCTCCCCTCTCTGTGGCTCCTCGCAGCAGCCTGTCACTGTCTCCCTCCCCCAGGCACATCCTTCCACCCGTCCCCCTTCAGACAGCCCCAGGAGTCCCCCTTAAGGCCACCATGGGGCTCCCTGTGGTGCCAACTCCCCAGCCTGCGTCCAGGCTGCCATTTGGGATCTGACTCCTCTCCCAGTTCCTTCTTGCCTCTGTCTAGGTACCCCCCGCCCCCGCCCCCAGCATATCCATCCTTATCATCTAAGAGTGTTCTCAGACACCTCTTCCCAGAGGCCCTCCTTGATCACACTCTGTCCATGTCATCCCTTCCCTTCCCCACCCCCCACCCCCAACCAGGCCAACTACCAAAGAGGAGGGAAGGTCACGCTGGCCCAGCCTCTCTCTCCAGGCCTCAAGCGGGAGCCCTGTGTGAGGGCTTGGGAGAAATTGTTTGTCTTCATGTTTTTATTTTTGTTGTTACTGCTGTTGCTGTTAATGGAAAAATGTCAAAAGTATTTTTTTTTCGGGGGGGAAATCACATTTAATCCCCCCCATGTCATGTGTTTTGCCGCTTCCTCTCGGTCCTTTATCCCAATGCAGGCGATGTTCCTGAGCTGCCAGCACTGCTGGTAATTACCACTTAGCGCCGCCGTCATATCCGGGGTCCGTCGCGGGCTCTGCCACCCGTCAGTCCCCTGAGCATCTCTTGTTGCTGGGAATGTAGGTGGTTTCTAATTCTTTTTCTTCTGGATGCTCAAGGCCGGGTCATGCGGGCAGATAGCTGTGTGTTTTCTCTTTAAGTCTGCTGAATGATTGCTGCGGGCTGAATTCCCAGGGGTGGTATTACTGGGTCAGAGGATATTGACTGCTTGTGGCTGTGGCCAAGAACCACTCTCCAGAAGGGCTGGACCATTTGTGTGGCCACCGGCCAGATACACATGCTCCGGTGTTCCGTTTCTGCACTCATTTATCTGTGAAAGGAAACTTCAGGATTGATTTCAGCAGTCATTCTTTGACGCACACCACATCCTCCGCCCAGCCCAGCAAGCTGGCCGCGTCCTTCCATCTTGGAGTGGGAGCCACAGAAGACCCTGGACTTAATAACAAGTACAGCTCACACGGAGCCCTTCCCAGGGAGCAGGCACTGTACACTCTCACTTCGTCCTCATCCAGTCTCTACGAGGGAGGTGCTATTCTATCCCTTTTTACAGGTGAAGAAACCAAGGTTCAGAGAGGTTGAGAAACTGGCCCAATGTCACACAGCAGTGGCACCTGGATGTGACCCTGTCATTGGCTCCAGAGCCCTTGTTCTTCATCATTAACTCTAGATCCATCTGGAGGGGCCAGACCTCACTACCTTTAGGGGAGTGAGAAAGACAGGCAAGGGCAGGGGCCCTTGCTGGGTAGTGCCCTGGCCATTTCTGCCTCCGAGCCCCCAGAGCGAGAGTGACGAGGGTCAGTGCACAAAGGCTCCTTCTGCTGGCGAGATCATCAGGGGGACCATGTGAGAGCCTCAGTGATAACAAGAACAATGAGAAGTAACATGGATTGGGCACTGACTGCATATGTATGAGCTTAGGCAGTCTTCAGCCCGACGGAGCAGGCTGTACACACTCCTCATATAGATAAGGAAGTGGAGGCTCAGAGAATGTGAAGGAACCAGAGGCAGGCAATTCCCGCCCCCGCTTTGGTGTCCTCTCTATCAATGGGCCAGATCCTCCCTAAACACCTTTCAGCTGTCAACTGTCTCAGCAATAGGAAGCCCAGGAGGGCATGAAGCCGAGAGCTGCTTGCTTGTAACTTTAGGCCAGTGGTCAGCAAACTGCGGCTCTGGAGCCACATGCGGCTCTTTGGCCCCTTGAGTGTGTCTCTTCCACAAAATACCACGTGCGGGCGCGCACGTACAGTGCGATT